ATATATATATATATATATATATATATATATAGCTTCTCAATACCTTTTTATGATAATGAACTAGATGGTTAAACAGATCAAATGTAACAAAAAAGGTGTTTGTTAAGTGTAAAAAAAGTATCTTTTAGTATAAAATACAAATTAAAACTACTTTAACTGCCATAAATCTTCTGCCAACACAAATAAACTGTGTTAATCACATCTACACTTTTTCATTATTCCACAAGTATTTGCCTGAAAGCACTCAGGCTTCTAGTTGCCTTTTCTTAAACATTTAACATGAAAAAAGACAAATTGTCTAAAACAATTATATTCATATAAGAAAATTGAGGTTCTTCAAAATTGTGTGGTTACTTACAATCATGAGTCCTTAATAAGCAGCATAAAATAAATACCGAAACAATTAAACCATCACATTACGAAACAATTTTTCAGCCTTCTTGTACATAAACATGTAAAAAAAGTTACAAACATGTCTTCTTTTACTGATTCTTAAAATCTGAATTACAAAACCATAAACAGTAAAAATGGGGTAACTAATTTTAAATACTGCTTTCGTCTACTCTTTTGTTTTATGGGTGAAGTTGGGCTGAGAGGATCATGAAGCACATTATTTTTAAAATATTACTGTAGTATAACCATATATCAAACTACAAAACTGAACACAATTTAAAATTTGCTAAAATATGACAACACAGCTGAACTCTGTCATGATATAAAAGACTATTTAGTTTAGATATTATTGGTTAATTTATTTTTGTGAGTGAATATTTTATTATTGTTTAGTTTCTGTTATAATAAGAGTTAAAAGCAGTTGTAGAAAGTTGTGTTTATAAGTCATTGATGATGAGGCTATCAAACTTTGCGTGCAATACATTGATGTCGAGAATATAGAGATTTCTAGAAGGCAAACAGACGATTAAGTGATAGACATATAAATAATGTGAGGCGAGCAAAAACAACAGACAGACAATAGCAGAAGAGAGTAAAGTTAAGTACCGTAGAAGTGATAAGCCTAACATTTAATATGTTAAGAGTAAGAACAACAGTAGAAAAGGAGAGAAGATGAAGAATTTATTCCATCAAAGCGTGGTTCTAAAGTAATTGAATCAGCCTGAATGCACTTTGACAAAAGGAACACAGGATATTTAGAAGAAAGAAGACCAATCAATTACGTGCCACAATTATAAGTGAATCACACACAGAATACTAGTGTAATAGTAATAGAGAAAATAGTTTGGCTTATCAACTGAAATTCTAAAGTAATTGAATAGGTCTAAGTGGGCTTTTAACAAGAATAAGAGAACTATATATAGACACACACATACATATATATATATATATATAGTATCTATAATATGCCTGTAATCTCTATAGTGTGAAGACTTTGTTGTACATAGGTTTAACTTGTTCCGAATATACATATTATTTTGAAACCAAATGAAGTGCGTGCTGTTCATTTATCATTGAAGTTATCATCAACAAGTTACTATTAAGAAGTATAAGTAAAAACCTTTTATTTTGACAACTGGAAAAAGAATATATATTTTAAATTCTGACCAACTCTATAAGCTGATGTATAATTAAGAACCTCTTCATGAAATATAGCTTTTAAAATTAGTTTTAATAACTGTTAATGTTAATCTTATTTAGTCAACTACAGCTATACCTGAAGAACAGTTTTCAAACAGCACATTTTTTGAATCGACTAAATCAGCCTCAGTCATCTAAATAACTTACTTCATTTTCTAAAGCACTTTGGGGGGCCCATGTATGTATCACAAGCTTATCACATTAATAAGACACTTCCTGAAATATTGGCATAAGTTAATCTCTTAAAGTAAAACTATCTTAATAGGCTTATTCCATAACAAAGTGAACCCACAAAAATCACTTTGTTCCAAAATAATTAAGTCTATGATGTCAGTTATCAAAGAAATTGCTAAAAAGTAAATTAATGCAATCGCATGTGAAACAGGGAATCATTTACCTTTCATTCATTTTATTCTAATTAAACATCAAGATTTAATGAAAAATGTATTACAATTACATCAAGCCATAATATTAATATTCTTAATAACTTATTTAATGTCATGGAAAATATGTTTTGGAATTAGTGAATACATGTAATGAAACACTTGCTAAAATAGCAAGGAGGAAATAAGTTCTTATTTTTCTTAATTTTTTTCATGTACATTTGTACATTTTAGTTGTAAGTTTAATACTTGCAGATTCATTTCTTCCTAAAACACACTTGACAAAACATTTGTTAGTGGAATGATATACCTGCAAAACAGACGTTCACTACAGAAACAATCTATTTGCAAAACAAAGACATTCACCAGATGAACAATCTATCAGCAAAACAAAGACATTCGTGAAAGGAATTATCTGCTTCTAAAACAAAAACATTCGTGAAAGGAATTATCTACTTCCAAAACAAAAACATTCGTGAAAGGAATTATCTACTTCCATAACAAAAAATATTCGTGAAAGGAATTATCTACTTCCAAAACAAAAACATTCGTGAAA